GTCCAACTGCATCAGAGTTAGGATTTCTCTTTATATCCTCCTCATGCCCACAGGTATAGCTATTTTTGGCTTTTGGTTGTGTTAATGTGTGCAGCAGAGATGCAAAAACAGTGGGAGATGACACCTTTTCATGCAAAACATCCAACCATTGGGGCTGTAGAGTGGCCCAGATGAACTGGCATTCTCCAGCTTCTTCCTAAAGTTAAGCACGCTTGAAGGGCTTTGCTAGGCAAAAGGAAGATGTAGAGAGGATTTTATAAATGGCAGTTGGGCAATTAATGTTAACCATCAATATCGGAATAGCTTAGATGGCATGATTAACTAGTAAGAGTTTTGAGCTGGCTGGTAATTTTAGATTAAATAGCCAGGCAGCCAGTGACTTGAATATTGATGAATATCCTGTGTTTTATTAATATGCATTCTCTATAAATTAGAGGCTTAGTACACAAAGAAGAAATCTAATGCTCTTGCTATTTTTCATTGCCACAGGTAGAGCTGAATAATTCATAGCAATTAATTTATTTCACTGATTTAGCCTTTTTGTGTGCATGTTGAGGGGGGGAGCATAAGTAGTCTGCAGGTAATTTTTTTCACATTTATTTATTATAAATAACTCACCAAACACATTTGAAGACTAGCTCTTAGTTACAGTGATTTTTTTTTTTAATTAAATTGAAGAATATGGGAGAAACTTGGGCAGAACTGCAAGCAATCCAGCAGTCATTACAAGAAACCAAGTGAATTTTAAATTGCAAAAAAAGCACAACTAATTGCAAATTAATTGACTGAGTGATGTAATTGATTGGTGCAATACCAGTTGTGTTGCATGTTTCTGCTCCTTATTTAATTGATTGTAATTCTTTAGGACCAAGATTTTCTAATAACTTTGTTTGTGTGCAGAATTTGCTATCTGTAACAAGTCACTAATGCATTTTAAATGGGGTGAATGGAAAGTTGCTCTTTTTGAAACCATGGGAAGATTTGCCGTTGACTCTGGAAGATACAGGATTTAACCTCCTAATGAAAACATTCCAGAAAATCCCTCTTGTGCAAATAGAGCTATAACACATCCAACCCAAATTACATTTGGTATTTAAGCAAATCTTCACAGTATCCAAATGCAGTTTTTTATTTCTTACCTTTCTTAGGTGGGGAGATGGTGCAACTCTAACTCTGAGATGCAATTCAGCGTGGCTGCATCCATGTCTCAGTGTCACACGGTCACACACAAAGCTGGTAATATCCAGAAACACACGAGGAGGAGGCTGTATGACTGCTGCCTCTCCCTTTTTGCTTGTTCTTGCAACATACTGCACAGCAGTAAGAGTTGCATAGCGTGCAATAAATCATTGCTTCATTATGCTCTTGTAGGCTTGTTTAGGGCACCTACTTCAGTACCAGCTCCAGAGGATTTTCTGTTCTTCACAGAAATTCGTCTCAGATATAGACTTCTGTTTTGATTTGCTGAGGGAAAAGAGAATCTCTATGTCTTATTTTTAAAATGATTTCCTAGTGCATGTGGCAATTCACATTACAGAACTTACTAAGAAAATAATTTGTGTCGGGAGATGATTTTAATTTGTAGGTGGATGATTTTGTTGAGAGGAGGCGAGAGGTTAAAGAAGGGTTTTGTGACCTGTCATTAGCAAACGAAGCATTCCTTCACTCCTTTCTTCCTTCTTCTCTTCTTGCCATCCTGCCTTTTTCCTTTGCTTCCCTTCTTTCTTTCTTCCATACACGGGAGCTGTCAAGCCATTACCTAACCAGGTTTTGTTGAATTGTTTTCAGCTGTAAAAGAAGCCTGTGTACCTCCAATAAGAAATAGTGTGAGGTCCTTGTTCACTTCATAAGCTGATAGCCAGCCCCAGCCTACGCTTGGGCAGGAAGACACCAAGCTGATAGAACAAGAATTTTTGGCATTTGGATTTGATTAAAGCAGACAAATGCTCTTAAGGAAATACATTTTCATTAGTTGTCCTAACTTAGTAACAAGGAGCAGTATTCGGCTTTGCTGATTTTGATAAAACAGTGTTTATTTATTGAAACATCCCAGACTGTACCTGCAGTGCGTTCGAATGCATGGAGTGGCAGCGTAAGAAATCAGGTATGTTCACTGCAGTGAGGTTGGGTTTTGCTGCAGTGTGACGAGGTGATTTAGGATCCGATCCAAACTCCTTGGAAATCAATGGAAGTGTTACCCTTGACTTTAGTGGGCTTTGATAATGGTTCCAGTTGTGGCAATAATTATTTCAATAGGGGGAGAATAATTTTCTGGCTTAAAAGATTCAATGTTTCGAATTGATAGCCTTGTTTGGGCAAGCTTTATATCTTGACTTTATCTGAATGTTTCTGCATGTGCCTTGCTCAGGTCAGCAGTCCCATGAAATGCAGATTTCTGTTTTGTGACCTTACTGAAATTTTGTAGATTATCCTGATGTGAAATTTGAAATCATTTTAAATTTACTCAAAACGTGACCTACCTTCACAAAGACCTCTCTGAGCAAAAATGGGATGTCTTCATAGCCTGAATGAAACACAAAAGTCTGTTTTGTGTAATCCGGGGTTTCATTTTGCATACTTCACTGTATCTCAGAAGCCTGGATGTACTTATTTGTTCTTAAACACTTATAAAGGTCCTAGGAATAGGAGATGTGCTGAGATACCGGAAAAGACTTTTTCCAGCACCCACTGCAACTTGAGCCCCCCATAAACATTTAGGACTCAGCGAGAATTGTACCCAACTCTATTTGATGGTGGTACAGTAGTGACCTTCTACATTGATTAAAGAAGTCACATTGATTGTCTTTGAAGGGAGCCACATCCACCTTTCTTCTGCCAAAAAGGAGGTGGCTGCAATGTGAAGCCTCAAGAGTGGGGCATTGCTCCTCCAAGTACATGGAAGACATCCAAGGGGAACTGGATAATGCGGATAATGGGATAGGGTTTCTTCCCTCCTCTCCCTCAAATACCATATAGCTAGATTTTAGCTGTCCAGAATTGAGCCTTAGAAGACTTTGATAGCAAATTAAAAGCTGATAAAGCTAAGGAAATGAGCTCTTTTTATAGGTTGCATAGGATGTTCAGCAGTTGAGCGTGTTGAAAAGGACTGGCAATTTTGGTTCTGTAGGGAATTTGAATGGTGATGGGGAACAGCTGATGCTGTGTAGACCGGCATGAGCAACCCAGTGGAAGGGATGGTGTGGTGAGGAAAAGAACTTTATCCCTCTGGAAAATCCACCTCTGGTGGTTTTCCATGCTGTCACTTTGGGGTGCCTTGTTTAAGAGAGGTTAATAATACCCAGTTTTCCAAAGATCACAATATCTTAACAATATCTGGCATCTTTAAGGCTCCTTTCGTTGGCACTGAGAAATACTGGCATCCAGAACTGTCACTTCTGAAAATCTGGGCCACTGAACCTGATATGAACTATCAGAAACCAAAGATGAAGGAGCATTTATGTTGGTGAATGTGTAGTAGCTTGAAAACTACAAATCAAAATAATTCACCCTTTTATGTGTAAGTCTCTTTATCTTTGATACACGAATTGAAAAGCTGTCTGGTTTCCTTGTAGTTTCCATAAGTAAACTGCGTGCAACCCATTACAATGCTATTTAAGCATTATTTAAAGTGCAGACATAAGGTCAAGAAAGCTCATCTGTATGCTAAAACGGAGCCGACTGAACCTTACACCTAAAACCAGCCAACAAGAAGGTCTCAAGTTCCACCATTCCCTTCTGACAAGGGTACAGCATGACAAATGGTGAAGCACCACAAGATCAAAGTGCTTTTTCAGGGAGAACAGTAAATTCAGAGACAGAAAGACACTAAGTCCTGGTGCAGGTGTCTGCTGTTGGAAAGCAGTCTTCCTCAAACAGGACACTTCCAGCCCATTGCAAAGGGATGAGGCAGAACTGCAAGCTGGGAATAATAGCACTGGAACTTTTCAGTTCTGAATGGTGAAAAGAAACTTTTCCATGCACATGGAAGGACAATGTCATATGTTTTGCTCATATGCTAGAATTACTTGCCCCTGTCTGAAGCTACCCTGCCTTTCTGAAGGATTGTGCCCCTAAATAGCCACTTTAGAGAGGCTATTCTGCATGATGATAACAGAGCAGAGGATGGATGATTTGTTAATCACTAGCTAAGGTTATTTGTGAGAACCTAGGAAACAATAGCCTCATAAATCATTTGTCTTATTAAATGTAGTTCTTCCCATGTAATTTGGTCATCATTGGGCAAGCTGTGTTTCAGTACTCTTAAGTAGAGAATCAACTGATGTTAGCTGAAGTTTGTGGAATTGTGGAAGGTATAATAGTAATAAATAGCAGAGTATTAAGAAAAAAAACCAACAAACTAAAGCAAAAACCTGGTTATTTTTCAGCTTTTTTTTTTTCTTCTTTCTTTCTTAGGGTTTTTTTTCCCCTACATATTTTTAATCTATTTAAGGTCACTGACAGTAGCTTTGCTTCTCTTGCCTTCTTCAGCTACTATGCTGCTATTTTTGTTTGGAGCAATAGAGTGGTTTTACAGTAGTTCTCTGGTTGTCTCCAATTTCTGGGGGACACTAGTTCACCTTCAGAGCATTTCTGGAGCACGAGGAGATCCACTAGGGAGCTCTCTCCAAAGGCAAATCAGAACTTGGTGGGACATTCAGCTCTGATCCCAAGGGTGAGCCACGCTACCGTGAAGTTCTCTGGGGTGTATGTAACACTACTTTGCAAGAGAAGTGCTGTCAACCCACTGTGAGCACCCATGCCACCCTGGAGTGGAGCTTGTTCTACAAAGAGGATCAAATGCTTTATGTGATGCCTTTTTTATTGGTGTCTGGCAGTTCTTGCTACTGCTATTACTCCTTCTTCCACCAAGTCTTCTGGCTCATTATCCTTTCTGCTCATTAACTGTTCCATCTTCTGTAGCTGTTCCTTCTTGTTGCTCTCCTTATTTTTTTTCTACTTTTATCACGTTTTGTGATCCCTTTTCCAATTTCCAACCTTAGTCTCCCAGAAGACCTGGAGTGGTGACGTCTGGACTGAGAAGAGATCACACTGCTTATAAATCTGCACCATGAGGAGGCCAAAAGTTTCTTCAGCAGCAGGAGGTAAGCCAGGACTGCTGGCGGGTATGAGGACCAGAGAGCAATGTTCCATACATTGAAGAAGAAGAAAGTGGTGCTTTTGAGGAATAGACTTTGAATCAGCATCACAGTCCTCCAGAGAAAGCTCAAAGAGCTCTTCAGGTGGGAGCACACCACCCAGCCAGCTGCTTGTTGGGTTTAGCCCATGGACGTCTGGGGTCTGCACACCAGAGACTGAGAACTCTTGACTTATCTTAAATTTCCTCTTTGTGGACTTCTGATGTGACAGGAATGGCACCAAAAATTCAATGTACCTGCTTTGCCATAACTTTTCCATACTGCTGACTTTCCCAGGACTACATTCCGTTCAAATTACGGGAACTTAATTACGTGAGGCTTAATTTCAGTTGCTTGGCCAGCTTTAAAAATATATATTCAAATTTGGACCTCGGGGGCAGAATCTGGGGAGCCTCTTTGTCCTTTCGCTTTGTGTTAACGTAAGTGAAGAAACTATGCCTGTGAATCTCTGCTTTATTACACCTATTCCAAGTCAGTCTCACTTCTGCTGAGACTTCCCAGACTTTCAGCAATGCAAGAGGGGGCATGAAATACCCCTAATATTATAGTCTATGCTTCTGAAACAGTCAAAAGATATTTGTCTCCTGCTTACGTGTTTTCTTGTAAATAAAACGCGTTGAGACCAGATACGGTGTTACACTGATTTTACACCAGAAAAAAAAAAAAAACATGTATTGTCATTTTACATAAAAATGCTGTGTTGTCTGTATGTATGTTGAGTAAATGTTAAAGTGTTTAATTGCAATGTAAAAGATTGGAGAGGGAGAACTGAAGGAGGGGCATGGAAGAGAGAGAAGGTAAAAGGACACAGAAGGGGAATGGTGGAATTGGAGGCTGGTATTGTCAGAGCATTACTGGAGAATTCCTATGATTGGGACTTATTACCTTCCTAACACTCCTTTCATTATCTGCTGCTAGAGTGATCAGTAATGAATGGCCTCCCAGTTTCATTGCTCACTCCCTCTAGAAGCTTTTGCATCATTTGCTCCCCTCCCCAAGATCTCTTTTCTTAAGTTCTAAGAAATTAAGGCGCTAAGATTTCACTTTTCTGCTGTAGTTGATGTGTTCTTCTGGTATATCTATGTTGTTACTTTGATAGCAAGGGCCCCACAGCACTTTGTGTTACACTTCCATCTATCACATTGTGATGATCAAGAATACATTGCAGCTGATGCGCAAACACTGATGTATATCTGGAGTTGGGCACCCACCTCCAACTCAGCAGATTAAAAACAAGGCAACAAGGAAGATGTGTTTTGTTTGTGGGGTTTGTTTGTTCGTTTGTTTGTTTAAAGCTTCCAATCAACTAGTGGGTTATCCTCAATGCAGTGGCAGCATGCCCCTTTCTTCTACTGCATGGCAGTGCTACAGCATGCAGAACAGATAAATAACAGGACTGCACTTCTGTTTTTAGGGAGTGACTGAGTGACCTTGCCTAGCTGGTGTGGCCATGCAGGAGAGGGCTCCTTGCAGGGGGCTGCTGCTGTATCTTCAAGGGCTGAGGGTTGAGTTCCTTCTGCAGGAGTGAAGAGAGGAAATGACCTTCACCCAGCTGAGCACGGAACAACAGGAAACCCTTGTGGTTTGAAGCTCTGTCCGCTTCCCACCCCCTAGAATCTGGCACTCAGGGGTGGTTTGATGGGCTGTCAGGGTTTAGCTGCTCTACGTATATTAACAAAGTATGTTGATGATTCATAGCAAAGTGGTGTGTGCTGATTTAAGTGATGGGCTAGCCATTCTGTAATGGATTTGAGAATTCCCAATCAGATTGTACTTAGTTTTATCAAGTAGGAAGCTGGCAGGCTGTGTTTTAATCAACTGATAGCAGCACTTGGCAACTGGCATCCCACTAGTGAACTGGTGAGCTTTAGAATACTTCCCAAAGACCGGCTCGTGGAACTGCAGGCAGCAGCATCCCCTCAGATCTCCCAGGTTTACCTCCGTGTTGTTCTATTGAGCCAGTTTCTTCCCCGGAAAAAACTTCCAGCTGGAAGCACAAGGCGATGCGGCACATACAGATCCTTTGCTGCTCTTTTGCCAGTGTTGGAGAGGGGGATGAAATGAGGCAGAAGACATTTGTTCAATCTTCTAGGAACATATGTCAAAACAACCTCCTGGATATAGCATGAAATCCCAGAACTGTGCAAATTCAAAGATGTGATGTTGGCATAAGTTTGTGAGCACTCACACTCTGTAAGTGAGATCAGTCTGGCATGGGACTGCACCAGGTGGGACATGGCCTTTTCCCCTTTGAGCCAGGCTGCTTTGTGGCCTGTTATCCCACTTCATCTCCTGAGCAGCATCTTGTATTCTCACCTATACCAGCAGGCATGCAGAATGTTCTCCTTTCAGGATGAAGCTCAGCAGCCTCCTTATTGCTTCTGCACAGCCCCAGTTGAGCATCCTCGCAGTGCAAACTCTCAGGTGCCATAGCTACCTTAAATAATTTCCTGCTCAGGATTTATATGCTACCACAATTATTGAGCTATGCAACCATCTACACCCACGTAGCTGTATTTGAGCACAGAGTCAAACCTGGGGAGCGGGTTTGTTGTGCCTAGCTCCTATGTAGTAGTTACAGTGCTTAGCAACCCACCTCCAATATAAATATATCTGCTACTCTCAAGAGCAGGCTTTGAAAAGCACCAGAAGGGATCACTCCCCCATAAGGATTTATTTCAGCATTGCAGAGCAGTGAGGACTTGGAAGGAGAAATCCTGCTCCCAGTTATCTTTCGATTCAGAGAGGTCAAGATTTCACTGAAGGCTGATGGAGCTCAGGTGAAGCTTTCTGTGATAGATGATGAGTCTCTTTGAAGATCATAGAAATACAGAATCATTGAATCATTTGAGTTGGAAGGGACCACTAAAGGTCATCTAGTCCTACTCCCCTGCAATGAACGGGGAAAAAGTCGATCCTTTGGGATCTGATCTTGAGTTTTGCTGCCATACAGGGAGCCAACAATGCGGGTTTTGTGAAGGGGTTCCATAGCACCTCCAAACTAACCAAGGGTTGCTCCAGGCAAAAACTCAGTAGGCTGCTAGTCAACTGTATCATCCTCCTTGTTCAACACTGACCAGGTGCTGATGGCTCTCAGAAGGAAATAGTGATTGCAAGGATACAAAATTGCCAAACTGACAAAAAGCAGTACAAGTGAAAGTGAGTACTAGAGAGGGGTGATTCACTGGGAAATGGCATGGTTAAAATGGTGAATCCTGTGTGAGGGAGGTGGTGTAAACATAGGGACTGGATGAGTGGAAGATGCGATGAACATTTTTAATCAAGTCTGTAATCTAAGAGGAAATTTTAACTTCTGCCTTTGTTATGATCTGCTATCCACTATGTGAAAATCAGAGAAACCAAAAAAAGGTCCCTATCTGCAGTGTCACCCTGCCTGGGCACTTCACCAGACAATGGTGCAAAAACTGATGTTAAGGTTTCCAGTGCTGAAGTCACCAAAAAGGCATGTGAGAGCAAAGCTGCAAAAAGTCATAGGTTTTCCCTCCCTGGATTGGAGATCATGTGAAATCGCAGAATTTCCACAAGGTTGTATGTGTAGCAGTCATGTTAGAGTGTTTTACAGATTAAAATAAAAGCATATCTTGAAGACATAATGATTTAGTTTTGAAGCAAGGTAGTTAATTCATCTTAATATGTGGAAGAAAACCCCCCAGTTAAGAGCCTATTCTTGATTTTCCCACTGATGTTTTGTGCATTTATGTTCATTTATTGCACTATTTGCTTGCTTTTACAAAATCCCCACCACACAATCATTTAATTTCTGAGAGTGTCTCCAGGGACAGGAGGCCACACTAGAGTATCTCGCATTGTGTGTCATTCAGGCAATGTCTCCTGAATCATAAAAACAATAGAAAGGGAATGGTACTTGAAGAGCAGATTCACCCTCCTTTTCCCTTTTCTGAGGTGTTTTTCCCAGCACATGCTAGCACACAAACTTGTCAGCAACTTGCTTAAACACCAGTTTCAGGGCATCAAAAATAAATTGCATAAATCTCAGTCTGCATCCCTGTGCCTCCAACGGGGTCCTTTGAATTAGAAGAGGTTTTCAGGGGGACGATCCTGTTGCTTTTGATATTATTTTCAAGTTTGAATCTAATGCTAGAACATCAATCCCAGCTCATCCAATTGACCACAAAGACCATAATCAATTTGATTTTATATGGTAAATCCATTCCAGATTACCACTTCAACTGCATATTTCTGCATGCAGGAAGTCTGCACTAAACTATCTGGCCTGATTAATACCTGATTATGGGGTGCAATTGCAACATAACTGCGTGACAGGAAAATAATCCTTTAAAAAAAAAGAAGCACTGAGGGTGTCAGAAGAGAAGGAAAATATCAGGATTGAAGCAGCTCTCACAATTTCTCATTTCCATTTATTTAAAAAAAAAAAAAAAAAAAAAAAAAGTAATTGAGACTTAAAAGAGAAAGAAAGAAAAGCCCTCCATGACTTTAAGTGTAAAATCCATTTTAGTAGCAGGAAGCTGTTATATGGTTAGAGCAGTTATTTTTATTGTCTGTCTGGGTATAGTTTTTAACTGCAGGCACAGGATAAATCAATAGTGTCATAAAGCTACTCTCACCCGGTGCCCTTTCTAAAGGGACATTGTTCGGTGGCTGTGCTGGATGTGACACAGGCTGCTGCTTTGATGCACAGAATTACACGGCTGTGTGCTAAGGGAGAGCTCAAGTGCAGCACATCTTTAGCAGCATCTCCTCATCCTTGTGTTCCGAGAGCTACCAGATTAAAAGCAAAACAAAGCATTCACAGAAACACACGCACACAAAAGCTACAGAAGTACTTCATCAGAAGAGGGTGGGTGGGCTATTCTGGCTGTTCTCTTGCGAAAGATACTCCCAATGAATTTGTCCATTCATAAATCTTCTAAATTTCCAAGATGATCCAAGAAGAGAAAGCTTGCAGTGATTCCCAGTGTCGTCCCTACAGCTTAAACCTGAGCATAGTCTGCTTCATCCCACAGCAGGGATGGACATAGCAGGACCTGACTGTAGGAAGCTGGAGCTAGATAAATCCAGCTTGGATGTGTGCCTTTTTAATAGCAAGAGTAGTTAGCGGCTGGAACAGTTGGCTTAGGAATGTGGCAAATTTAGCATTACTTTCAGTCTCTAAATCAAGAGCAAGTGTCTTTCCAAAGATATGCAATAGCTTCAGCAGAAGTTATGGCTTTGATGCTGAAATGAGTGGGTGAAGTTCTTCAGCTGTGTTGCATAGGAAACAAAACCAGATGATGGCGATGGTCCTTTTCAGCTACTCTAATCCATTAAATCCTAGTTGGGGGCCCATCGCACGCTGGGGTTTAAAGCAGTCTGTTGGCTTTTCTGGATGGTTTCTGTGGGCGATACACATTCCAGAGCTGGAGCTGACAAACTCCATCTAAATGCGTATCCGGAATTGACACACTTCATAATTTACAGCTCTTTAATCATTGCCTCTGAATGCCACTCCAGAGCCATTCCCCTGCAGCTGAGCTCACTTTGTATCTCCTGTGCAGTGTAAGTGTTCACTGGCAGAGATGCACCAGGGGCTGATCCCAGCTGAAACCCACACCCCAGAACAGCCACCAGTGACCTGGGCGGTGGAGAGGTAAACCCTACCAGATCAAATTCTTAAGTAATTTATTGTCAGCAAGGAACGCTGTCGAGGAAATTAATCACTCCTCTCCTTGCTTTTGCATCGCAACTTCCCCAGGTTGCACTTGTGACAAAGGCACGAAAGCTGTTCTTGTGCTGCAAGTGGGAGGTGCAGACAGCGACAATCTGTGCCCTGTCTGTGGAATCGATGCCGAGACAGCTCTATTTTCACATCCAATCACACGCCGATTGGTATTACCTTGGGATTTGTTTGGGGGACGGCTATTGAGAAGTGGAATTGGAGTTGGGATTTAGTGAGATTAAAGGAAACAACAGAAAAGTAATGCAAGTGTTTCCTGAAGGTAGCACAGCTTGTAAGTCTGCTCGGTGAGCGTGGGAGCCATTGATGGCAAATAAGATTTATCCCAGTAACCTAATCTTTGTTTCCCTTCTCTCTGCAAAATGCTTAGTGCTGGATTTTGATGTCTATAAATACTGATCTGGGTTTCCCTTCCTTTCTTCCCTGGGAACCCCAGTACTCGGGAACCAGAGCAGCAAATGTCAAGGAACCAAAGACACCCTCATGGCTATGAGAAACAGCATAGAGAAAAGCCCACAAACACTTCCCAGATTGCCAAACTTTTTTGTAAATAGCCGGT